CAGGATAGAAAAAAAGAAATCCACCACAGGTCTTAGGCCGGGCATGTCCTCCTACAGGCGGATTTAGAACGAAAATTCAAAAGTAATTCTAAAACATATTCAAAGCTAGCCAAAAAAAACAAACAATCGTCCGCAGACTATTTTTGACTATTTTTCAATATTCCGCCTGTACAGGGATGTGCCCGACTTTAGACAAGTCTGAGATCCGCGAACCTTCGAAGTTCCATACCATGGCTGGGGCGTTCATGATTGAGCCACTGTGCAAAAACAATCAGACATGCAAAACATGATCCCGAAATCCCTAACCATCATTTCGTAGTCCCACATGGTGGTTAGCGGGACGTGGGTCCTGCGTGAGCCATCTGCACAACCAGCCAATCACGGTGTAGAGTACCAACACGCCGCTGATTCCCGACCAATTCTGACCGAAATCCTCCCCACGCAACCCCATCGCACTTTGGCGCGCCCAGAACGGGTACAGAAACAAATGGCACGATGGCACGTAGTAGAACGGTGTCCAAAACCGATAGCGGCCGCTGTTGGGAAGGCGATTTCCTGCTCCTGCCTCACACGGACAACGTCCGCGGCGACAGGCGAGACCGGCAGCGAGCCCTGTTCAAAATGGGCAGGCACTGGTGCCGGCATCCGTCCCCATCGTTTCCGCACATGGCGATCGTGCCGGAGAAGAGGGCCGAGGAGACCACGCCTCAAGCAGGTTTCGGCTCTGTGTCGCTGTCTTCTCGAGCAGACACCCCCAAACCTCTCGACCCGTTCCCTGGGGCGGGCTCTTCGTTCACAGTCTTTTTGATCCGCGGGTCGAGAGCGCACCTTTTCCGGTCGAAGCTAAGCGGGCCGCGCGAAGCTTGAAGGGGGGTCTGGCCGGCCTCCAGGGGACGAGAAGGCGAGAAGACCGCAGGCGGAAATGTTTCCAACGTCCGGAGAGCTCTCGGAGGACCTGCAGGCGCCGAGGGCCACGAGACCTTGCGCGCGCAGCTGGGGCAAGCGCCCGAAGGCCCCCGAGAGCCAAAAGATCGAAGAGCACTTGGACCCGCGAATGTCGCAGCAGATGCCCATGCCCATCCTCCCGGTTGGACTCTCTCGACACCATTCCTTAGAAGGCAGGGGTATCTCGAAGACGGCGGGGGAGCTTCTCGGAAAGGTGAGGAGAAGAAGAAGGACGGGGCAGCTTCATATGGTTGGGTGGAAGCGACCACTATCTAAAAAAAATGACTGCCCATGTTGAACATAAATTGAAAACTCTCTGTCGCTATATTGCTAATGATGAGCCACGTCTACATCGCAGAGCGGGTGAGGGGGCTAGGAAGGGGCATGCCACTCCTTGACAGAAACCTTGCCCCGATGTGTGGCCGCCGCGATCGCCGCGGCGACCTCCGAAACCGACCCAGAAGTTTGGCTCAAGGGCGGATATCAAGCAATGATCTTAGGGCTTCCTCTCCAAGAGGGCGAGGGAGCTTCCTGGTTATAGAGCTCCTCAAGGAGGCGAAGAGGGGGGCCGAAGGAATCACGCCTCAGGCAGACTCAGGCACTGTGTGGCTGCCTTCACGAAAAGATGCTGGGAACCAACAAAGCAATATGGTCGGGGCCGAGCTCCAAGGGAGTTGCTGCAGTGCCGCCGGAGCCGCCCGAGCACGAACCTGACCGATCAGCCGTGGCACTGCCGCCTCGGGGCCACAGTGAGTCAGGTCCGTGCTCCGGCACGACGGGAATCCACTGCAGGGGCTCGACCGACCCGAACGCTAGACAGACAACCTGTTGATCCCAGAGATGCTACCCCCCCCTAAGGGGCAACGGCAGGGGGGACAGGCACAGGGGGGACACATCAGCCTGCAATCGGCGGTGCATCGCCGACGGATCGGCACTGGGGCCCCGACCGCGAGCCCGCATGTTCGTGGGCAGGCTGGGGCCATTGGGCCCCTCTCGGCGACCCATGGGCGACTGGGGGTCGATGCATTCCCCCCCTATCACTGCCCCTGACCCTCCAGCGGGCGGGCCACGCTCTGCAGCAGCTGCGCGTGGTTGATGAAGTTCTGCTCCAGCCGCAGCCAGAGCGGGGCGGCCCCGCGCCCGCCGCCCTGGCCGGAGTGCACCCCCCACGACGGCGGGACGGCCCGTCGGCAACGAAGCCGACGACCCCCGACCTCCAGAATTCAGCATGGGGGAAGCGGGTCCTGTGGGAAACGGGTCGTGGAGGAGGAGGAGGAGGAGGAGGAGGAGGAGGAGGAGGAGGAGGAGGAGGAGCCTTCCCCCAGGACGAGCTCTTCATCCGGAGCGGGTTTTTTTTCCGACGGCCCGGGGAGGCCCGTGGAGGGCCCCGCGAGCCCAAGAGAAGGCGAAGGGCCTCGGGCCCTGCTCCCCCGAGGACCCGCTCCCCCCGTGGCAAAGAACAGGGGAAGGGAGAACGGCGAGTACATCAACCTCCTCCTCCTCCTCCTCCTCTCCTCCTCCCCCTCCTCCTCCTCCTCCTCCTCCTCCTCCTCCTCTGTCGCAGGTCCGCGCGGAATTCTTGGATCGGCGCTGGAGGTGCGGCCAGAGGGGTCGAGCGCAGATCCAAGACATCCGCGTGGACTGCCGAAAGCGTATGTTCGTGCCATGCTTTCGCGTTCGACAGAAGCCAGAACATAATCGAACCTTTGGACGCCCGAGATGGGTACGGAAAGCATGGGCACGGTGCCAAACCGCAAGCGTTGCCCAAATCCGACAAGCGGCCGCTGTTGGGCAAGCGGCCCCCTGTCTCCAACGGACACCGCCCGCGGCGACAGCGACGGCGCGTCCTGTGGAAAACGAACCGAAAACGCTGTCGGTCTTTCTGTCCATTCCTTCCCGACCCATCTGGATCGTCCCGAGGGCCTGAGGTCTCTCTCCTCCTACAGGGGCCCCAGGACACACAAATGAACACGCACAAATGATAATGTTCCCCATATTTTCCCATATTTTCTGGGTTTTTGTTTTCCCCCCCACTTCCCATAGTTTCCCATATTTTCTGGGGAGTCGACGATTAATTGCGTCTGTGTGTTTCTTTCCCTCCTGACCTTCTTCGGCCTCTGGAGGCCTGCCCCAGGCCCCCGCGCTTGGACGCTCGAGAGGGGCACGGAGAACAGGGGCACGAGATGCCCAACAGCAGGTGCTGCCCAGAACCGACAGCGGCCGCTGTTGGAGAAGCGGCCTCCCGGCCTCGAATGGACAGCGTCCACGGTGACGCCGACCGCGAGCCCTGTTCAGAAGGAGCAGGAATTGCGAAAGTTCTCTTATCCGGCGTTTCGCCATCGGGCGGAAGGGGGAGGGAGAGAGGGGGGGGGGTCTGGCTCCAGACCTCTGCTTCATGCGACGGTTTGCAATGATGCGCCCTATGGGGGAGACTCCGCCTGCCCGAAACAGGCGCCAAAAACAGCCAAGATCTACTCCACGGGGGAGGGGGAGGGGGTGCGAGGGCCCGCGCCGATCGGCAAAACGATGAATAAGCAACGATCACATTGCTTCGGTGGCAACTCATGGGAGCCTCACATACCATCTTGCCGGCTCTTGCGGATCGACGCTAGTCGACGCGAAATCGACGCTGATCGACGCTAAATCTACGGTAATCGACGCAAATCGATGCTAAATCGGGCTATCCCATCGACTCCCAGACGCTAATCGACGCTAGTCGACGCTGCACACAGAATCAAGAGGGTACACCAGGCTCCAATGATTTGCCACCGAACATTGCTGTTGGAAGTTGTACACTCCATGGAGGGGGGGTGTGAGGGTTCGCGCCGATCGAGGGGGGGTGTGAGGGTTCGCGCCGATCGACAAAACACTGAATAAAAAAACGATCGCCATGAAGTACCTTGGCTGATTTGGGCGCCTTGTTTCGACCAGGTGGGGTCTCCCCCATAGGACGCACTGCTCACTGAGCAGAGGTCCAGAGCCAGACCCCGCCCCCCCGCGCCCCTTCCCGCCCAGCGCCGACACGCCGCATGAGAAGACGCTCACCAGAGGGAGCAGGGACTGCTGCTGGGCGCTGTGCCCACTGCTCGGGGAGCCCAAAAACCGTGCGGCGACGGACCGTGCGGTGACCTCGGAGCACCAAGAGACCTCGCCGCACGGTCCGCCACCGCACGGTCCTGGGAGCCTGGGAGCCCCTCTCGCCCGAGACATCCTCGGCGAGGGACCCGGGTCCCAAGACCGCGCGGTGAGCCCGAATCCCCACCGACTCACCACACGGTGTGGTCCCCACCCCGTTTGTGGACAAGCGCGTTCCACGACTCGCCGAGTAACTCCTCGCAAATGGTCTGGATCCGCCATGGGGGATTTACGACACACTGGATCGATGTGGACGTGTGTGTGTGTGTGTTTGTGTGTTTGTGTGTGTTTGTGTGTGTTTGTGTGTATGTGTGTGTATGTGTGTATGTGTGTATGTGTATATGTCTGTGTTTGTGTGTTTGTGTGTGTTTGTGTGTTTGTGTGTGTGTTTGTGTGTGTTTGTGTGTGTTTGTGTGTGTTTGTGTGTGTTTGTGTGTTTGTGTGTGTTTGTGTGTTT